GCTGACCGGCGCTCGGCGGTGCTGGCGGTGACCGTGGCCGTCCCGGTGCTGGCCGTGCTGCTGGCCGTGACCGTGGCCTGCACGGCCCGGGGCTGGCGGCACCGCGGGGCCAAAGCCCCGAACGTGGAGGAGGCGCTGTGCGAGGGCAGCCTGGTGGGCTCCGGGAAGACGCTGAAGGATCTCATCTCCGACATGACCACCTCGGGCTCCGGCTCCGGTACGTGCTGGCCCCGCTCGCCACCGCGGGCTTTGTGCCGCTGCTGGGGCGCTGGGGCTTTGGGTGCTCTTCTTCTTCAAACTGCAACATTACAGTTCTTTGTTGTAATGGAGGAGTTAAAAAAGGGAGCTCAGAAATCAGAATCAAGTGTGAACCCCGCTGCTGATACCACGTGGCTGGTAATGAACAGTGCTAAACTCACCCGAGAGGGTCAGGATGCTGCTTCTGGATTTTTTCATATTTCAGAGCAGAACAATGTTCCTCCAAATTCTCGCTTTGAGTACAACATTCTTCTTTTTAACATTTTTTCCGATTTCTGATATCTTGCCTACTGTGATGCCTCCATTGCTATTGAGAACTTGTTAAACCAAAGAAACCTAAAAATGAGGTGAGAATTCACAAATTCCAGCTCATTTGACCAGTGGGATGTGTAGCCCAACTTTCCCTCACTAGAACTCTTATTGAAAAGTATGTAAACTATGCTTGCTTTTATTTGTAAATGAAAAATGTACAAATGGTGCCTAATTTAATTTATTTTCATGAGCTGCATACCTCTGAGGATTAAGTTGTTGTTCTTCCCTAGTGCTTTTTCACAGCTCTAATGAGCAGACTTTGGTTTTATTTATGCTGAAAATTTTAACTGTTCCCAGCCACCCCTGAGTCAGGACAGGGCTGGACTTGAGCAGAGCCAGAGCCCCATGCACCAGAGTGATTTGTTCTTGCTTCAGCCAAAATCAAGGTTGCCGTTATTAAAAAAAAAGAAAACGAAAAAAAAAATACAATTTCCTTGTTTTAAGTCTCCAGCAAACACAGAATCAAGTCAAACCAGGCAGGTTTTGTGGCTGGCAAAGCACAGTGGAGCTGCTATAATAATTTACTTTTATTTTCAAAAATTTCAGCCAGAGTAGAGCAGCAAATTGACTGCAGGACAGGTGCAGCCTGTATCAAACCAAATGGAGTAGTTCGGGCCAAATTTTAAATTTTTTACTGGGGTTTTAAAAAGTTTTTTCTATGTAGAGACAGTGGGAAATAACATCCAAAATCTGATTTGAGGAGGAGTGGTTGGGAGAGGTTTTTCCTTTGGTAGTCTTGGAAAGCAAAGCCGTGAGTGCAGCTCCCTGGGGAAGGTCAGTGCTGGGGTTTGAAGGTCCTGGCTGAGCCGTTTCACAGGAGCCTGTCTCTGTTTTTTACCAGGTCTGCCTCTGCTGGTGCAGAGAACCATTGCAAGGACCATTGTCCTGCAGGAGATTGTGGGGAAAGGACGCTTTGGAGAAGTCTGGCGTGGGAAGTGGTGCGGGGAGGATGTAGCTGTGAAAATCTTCTCCTCCAGAGACGAGCGGTCCTGGTTCCGGGAGGCAGAGATTTACCAGACGGTCATGCTGAGGCACGAGAACATCCTGGGCTTCATTGCTGCTGACAACAAGGGTGAGCAGCACGGCACCCTGGGGTCCCAGCCTCCTCAGGGAGCTTTTCCAGCCCAAATCATTCCCTGACTCTGTGTGGTGGCCTTGGCAGAGCTGGGATGGGCTCAGTGGTCTCAGGGCGCTTCCCATCCCAAATGATGGCGCTCACTGAAGGCTGGCTCTGTCTCAGCACAGCTTTCACTGCCCCCACTCCTCTGAGCCAGGCCCTGAGCTGGGCTGCCCTGGGCTCCTTCCAGTGCCCCAGCTGCCACATTCCCTTCTTGCATTCCCCAAAAAGGGGAAGGCTTTCCCTGGCTCATATTTTTAATCCTCCTGCTTCCTCTGGCTAGATAATGGGACCTGGACCCAGCTGTGGCTTGTCTCCGAGTACCACGAGCAGGGCTCCCTGTTTGACTACCTGAACAGAGGCACGGTGACCGTGGAGGGCATGGTCAGGCTGGCACTGTCCGTGGCCAGTGGCCTGGCCCACCTGCACATGGAGATCGTTGGCACACAAGGCAAGTGCTTCCCTCCCACTTCTCCTTCAAGTACTTTAAGGAGCTTCAGTGTTTTCAAAAACATTTATGGGTGATGTGGTATCGTGTTTTCCAAACTGTTAACACCAGGGGAGCAGGGGGAGTGGTGCAGTACAGACTGGGAAGGGTCTGTTCCCTTCCCACTTCCACTTTATCCATGTCTTTAAGAACATGCCAATAGGAGCAGCTCTGCTGAAGGGGAGTGAGCGTTAATGAAGGAAAAATTAAGAAAAATTTCTTCATGGGAAGGTTTGTCCAGCCCTGGCACAGTTTGCCTGGGGCAGTGGTGGGATCACCATCCCTTAAAAAGCTGTGTGGATGTGGCACCTGGGGACATGGGTTAGTGGTGGCCTTGTCAATGCTGAGGCATGGTGGGACTCGGTGGGCTTAGAGGGTTTTTCTGACCCAATCCATTCAGTGATTCTATAATTTTCTAAATGAATTTGGAGGGTGAACTTCCAGTTTCTCTTTTGGTGTTTTATTCCTGAAATACAGATATTGAAACAAAAATGGCCTCAAAGTTTTCTTTCAAAGTTGACAACATTTAGCAGAGCTTTACTTGGTTCAAAATAGACTTTAGTATTTCTATAGGGAATAGTAACAAAAGTGAATAAAACTGTTATCACATCCTCGGTCACGATATTAAAATGCACACCGTTGTTATCAAAATTGGAGGCGGTTTCTCTTGCTGTGAACAGGGAAGCCAGCGATCGCTCACCGGGACCTGAAATCCAAGAACATCCTGGTGAAGAGGAACGAGACCTGCGCCATCGCCGACCTGGGGCTGGCGGTGAAGCACGACTCGGTGCTGAACACCATCGACATCCCCCAGAACCCCCGCGTGGGCACCAGGAGGTGCGTGAGGCCGGGCAGCTCCCGGGGGTGGCCTCTCACTGCCCTGCCCTCCCCTGTGCCCTGGCATGGGGCAGGGATGGCCGCAGCCCCTCGGGCTGGGTGAGCAGGGGGTCACAGACCCCGGTGTGGGATGGAGCTCTCTGCCCATCCTGTGCCGCTCACCCTGTCACCCCCGGAGCCCTGGGCTGGGCAGGACACGGTGCCAGCCCCACGAGGGGTCACAGGGCTCTGGCAGGTGGCAGCACGGCCTTTGGTAGGAGCTGCCCCAGCAAACTGACCGTATGTGCCCCAAAGGTACATGGCCCCCGAGATCCTGGAGGATGCCATGAACGTGAACATCTTCGAGTCCTTCAAGCGTGCAGACATTTACTCCCTGGGGCTGGTGTACTGGGAGATAGCCCGGAGGTGCTCTGTGGGAGGTGAGCCTTTGGCCTTTGCCTGCAGTCCCTGATGGGTTGGGGTTGGAAGGGACATCAGAGCTCTCCTCCTTCCACCCCCTGCCGTGGGCACCTACACGATAACCCTTCCCCAGGAGTCACTGAGGAGTACCAGCTGCCTTACTACGACCTCGTGCCTTCTGATCCTTCCATAGAAGATATGAGAAGGGTTGTCTGTGAACAGAAGCTCAGACCAAGTATTCCAAACCAGTGGCAAAGCTGCGAGGTAAAAGCAGTTTTCTACTTTATTCTAAGTTTATTTTGTAGTTTTTTTGTTTTCCTAGTTTTATTTTGTTATTTGTATTTTCAAGTTTAAATTAAGACAATTTTTCAGTGAGAGATAGGCCACTCAATGCCCAGCTTCTCCTGAATTTAGGAGCTTCAGATGTCTAGTTCTCCTTCAGATCAATACAGAGAAAACTCTTTGTACCAAGTGCTCAGTGCTGTCCAAGGTGGACATTAATTAATGCTGCTGCTGTTGTGTCACGGTGTCAGAGAGCTGCACTTCATCTCCCTGCATTAAAACCGGGAAGCAGGGGGTGGTGGTTGTGTCCCTGGCTGTTGTCTGTCCCACGGCAGACACTGACTGTACCCCCAGGTGCTGTTCTTGTCCCACCACAGACACCGTGGTTGTACCCTGGCTGGTTTTGTCCCCCTGCAGACCCTGTTTGTACCCGTGGGTGTTGTTTTACC